GCATTACAATTATCCACAGAACCTGAGTCAGAGGAGATCTGAATGCATTGGTTCTCGGATTCTGCTGCCTCAGGGCATGTTAGTTCATCCTGTGGACGAGAAGTCGGGTTGATTGAAGATGGCAGCAGTACAGACGGCGGAAGCATCGGGGATGGTGGAAGGATCGAAGAAGGCGGAAGTACTGAATGATATGAAGCTTTGCTGCTATTGACGGACCGTCGGTAACTATCACATGCAGTACAGAAGACGACGATGACTCAACTTGCGCAACGTTTTGTTTCTTGCAGTTGAGTGCCGTCTGAGCAATGACGGGCACAGGGGAGTCTGTAGCATTCAGACCCTTCCGCTCCACGTTTCGCCCAAAACGCACTCTTCTCAAGCCTTTACGACGCTTGGCCCGCTTTGGAGCATGCGCAGCTGCGGAAGGGTCTTTGAAAGTCGGCGACGCTACGCTCGAGGGCACAGAATCTTCCAAAGACTGCTTCCTCTTATTTGAAGTTTTTTCTGGTAGTGGTACTGCAGCCTGTTTGTTGGTCGAGGTCCATACAGCGCGTGAGAGTCCTGGGACCGCCGAACTCGTCGACTTTCCTTTGACAGAACCTGTGGCGGACTCGGTAATTTCATGAAAACTGGTCAATGACTCAATCTGGCTCACGGCACGCATTTCCTGTCCGCTTGTCGAATCCATTCCTGCTTTGCTTGCATCCAACGAGCCCATAGAACTGTTTGTCGTGCGATAGGATGAAGTATCGGAAGATGCAGCACTCGCCATATCAACGCACTGTTAGTATTTAGCCTTGTCGTAAGCATCTTTTATGTCAATAATCTTCTCATTGTATGTGAAACACTTTCCACTTGTTGAACGCGCGAGTAGGCAATTCCAGGCAATGTTGGGGCCTTCTAACAAGTAGCACAGAGCCAAGCCTTGCCTAAGGGGTGATCCCAAAGCGGGGTCACATTCGGTGAGATTTTTGAGAAGTTTTACAGCCCCGTGGGGGCATTGCGAAAAGTGGGAGATGCTTTAGACAGTATGACGTTCGGGGGACGTACAACGACTGGCGATACGACCGATGGTGTTGAAGAATAAGGTGGTTGCAGATGTTCTTCTAGCGGCCGCGGTGGTGTGCGTCTAGGAAGGTGGTTAGACCATACTCCAGCTGCACCGTATACTCAACAGCTGACCCATGACCTTTGGCCGCGCTTGGAAACCTCACTGGATGAGTAAACAACATCAACTCAGTCACAAAGCGCGTCACAAACCTGAAGGGATGCGCTATCTTGTCCCGTCGCTTGGTCCTAGGCAATCCCTCTCCTCACACTCTATCTCGAGTTTCCATCTCTGGATGTGTTTCCACACTTTCACTCTGCATGATCATCTTCACCGCAGTAGTTACAACGACGCATATATCCGCACTCTGACACGGTGTACCCGAAACTGATGCAAGTTTTGTAAAATCGGACGGACTTGAATTTGTAAGGTAATATTAGGGAGGTCGTAGTTCGGTCGCCGGTTGAGAATGATAAGGTATGGACGGGGGAGCGGATGAAACGGGGTGCAGTCATACAGATTGTTCGCGCAGCCGTCGAATGGTTCCTCGTCCAATCCGATTGCTCCGGTGGCGGTGTTGATTGCCGAAGCCAGCCAGTCACGTGACCTGTCACATGACTACGGAATTTCACCTGTTTTTTTATCTATCGGCATATAAATCTTTACTCAATCAATCCATTCCCTTACGTTCGGCTTGTCTACCTCCTGTCATCTGTCGAACCCTCGACATCGTACGTGACTCTCTCACCGGCTCCTCTTTTCACATGTTTGCCCTGGTGGATCGACAGTCCTACCAGGGCATGCGACCTAAGCTGCACATGTACATGGGAATACAATTCCACGGAGATAGTGAGAGTGAGAGTCCTCTGCGAGTCCCGTAGTATTGCCTGAAAGGCTGATCGTCTGACGAACGTCGACGACCGATGGTCGCAGAGCATTATCGGCCTGTTCCGTCGCTTCAGCTAAGCCCTTGCACGATTCGACCCGGCTGATCGCAAGTTACAGGCTGGCTCAGTATGAGGATACCGGTCCGCATGTTGTGCTCATGTCCTAGCAGCGCGGGGTTGTGGGTTCGATTCCGACAGGAGCGAGGTCACTTTGCTGATCTGAGCATCGCTACCTAAGTAGGTAGATCACGATAACACATGAAGCGCATGGCCCGAGCGAGCAGCACGCGCGTTTGCCCGATGCATTGACACGCTCGCTGGCTACATGTTACTTTTGCTACTATCCTCCTGTCAGTCCTTTTGATTGTCTGAATTGAAATTTTGATTGCGCCCTTAGGTTTGATCGAGCGCTTTGAATATGAGTGAGACATTTATTGGCCTCAACTCCAAGCCGAAGGTCACGCCCCTTAGCCGCACATCATGTTCATCATTGTACGCCTGTCGGTTGTTGTGCTTGACTGCAACAAATAATGGGATTCGTGTGCCTTAGCCTCAAGGCGGTTCTTCCGTTGCTACAAACCTTGCGCCAAGAGACCCATAAGCATATCGTCGCCACCTATCTGCGGTTGCTACATCACGCGTAGTCGTTGAATTAGTTTCATGGTAAACTTCTGATCTGGGCAAGGACGTGGGGCGTGGGGACTAGAACGCGCGGCGCAAGAAGTAAGTAACTACCTCGCAAGATACTGGCCGACTACGTATCGCACGATGTCACGACTCTACAGTCGTCAGTATACGGTGCTGAGGTCGTTTCTGGAATCATTGTTGGGGAACGACTCGTTGCATTTGTGCTTAGGTACTATCTTGTGACTTCAAACCAGGAATTGGTGCCTTTAGGTATTCTCGAGACCGAACGAGCTAGTTCAGCACTGTCATGTGGGGAGAAGAGACCGCACCGATGCTTGATGCCATTATCACTGATCAAACCCAGAGGCTTTGACAATCGAGAGTTGGCTCGCATATGTGTACTGCTCATAGGTGAGAGATCTCAGTCCGAAAGAATTTCAAGTGTTGTTCTGTTTCCCATACCCCGTTCTGGTCATTATGCTTTGCATTGTATTCAACGATCCGTGACGACACACGAGTCTCTCCAAATTGCTGTCTGAATCTTCTCAACAGCCATGGCCAAACATGACGCCGACCTTAGGGCAATCTAGACAAGCATTCATGCCACTTGTAGTAGTCACTTTGCAAGCTACCTCTCAGAACATGAGACGCATGCTCCACAGCCCTTCGACTCTTCTTCGCAGCTACCTTGCCCTTAGCTTCCCACCTCTCTGTGTACAGATCTGTATCTGTGTTAAATGCTGAAGAACCTGAGATGCCCACCCAGTTTCTCTTGTATCTCTGTTCTCAGCACGAACTCACCTGGTCATTTCGACTTCCAAAGTCCTGGACCCACATAACTAGGCATTGCTAGTGGCATCAAAACCCTGAGCTCCAAGAACTTCAATCGGGTCCCGTATACGTAGTAACAGTTCTAGTCGAGCAAAGACAGCAATCAAGCCGATCTCACATCGAGGACAGAGCCGGCTTTTGGTGTGGATGAAGTTGTATGCTTTGTCCAAATGGCTCGCTTGACTGTCGTTCTCCTAGCTCACCTGTGATCGATTCAACAAACCTCTCTGCGCTTATACTGGCCTCAGGCCCTTCCAAGATGACAGGAATGCTCTTGCTTTGGCTCGAACGTATTGTATGTCAGCATCCCTCGCTCAGGTCCCTCTCTTTCTATGTAAAGAGTTGTTTGTGTTCCCCTCGGCTACTTAGGCATGTCTGCAAACATGTACCTATGCTCGCAACCTTCATAGCAACCATCAAATTGTTCTTCTCCTACTGATACCGTTCCAGCTCCTATGAAAGCTGTGCCGTACCGGAAAAGCTGATCAACGTCTTGATGGAAACATGTTGCATATAGAGCCGCTGCACAGTTGTTCCCTGGCAAAGACGGTTGCAGAAGATTTGATATAAAGCAAATGCTCGATCGCAATTAATCGCGAACCGTCTGGTAGCTTTGGTAGCAATTATTTATGTGGTATCACCAGCGCGTCTACCATAAAGGGGCCCACCTGTACTCTACCGTAGTGCGCTCTGCGACTTGCATTCAGGTGTTCTGGTTTCTGGAGCCTTCTGAACCGCGATCAAATCATATTCGTCATGCGGAACCCGACAAACCATGCACATGCTGATTGTGTATCGAATGCGTGGAAGCTATTCCATGTCGAGGATTGTCCAGTGCGAGATTCAGTGCATTGGTAGTGGGTATTGTACAAGCCTACGCAGCCCAATGGAGCGGGTATTGTGTTGGATCTACCTATTCCGGGCGATTAAGCGCTCCTAGAGCTCGGAGACATGAGGAAGCGAAAGCGCTCTTTTCTGCTCACTAAAATTGAAGTAAGTCTTGTGCTCTGTCGATAGTTATGCTCAAATCGCACAAACGAGTCTCTCGACGGACTGATACTTCCCGTTGGGGCAGCGCAAGCTGGATCTGAACCGTGATTGTATTTAAAAATATAGTAAGAGAATACCGTGACTGTACATGAGGTATTCCACACAACACCAGATCCGCACCGAGATCCCACTTTCTAGAAAATGTGCGCTGAGATGGAGTTATATGAAGACATTGCGTGAGCCTCCAGACTATGGCTATTTCGTTGTCTCGCGATTACGCTGGGCCAAGGAATCAGCGGCGACATTGGGGTTCTTCGAGAAATATTCCAGGACGCGGTCGGCGCTTGAGTCATGTATGACAGAGCACACTCCGGGCCCGTGTTCAAGACCATAACATTGGTGCGGAAGTCTAACCGCGTCTGTGCATCCGTGTAAACTGACGTCAATGGGTATGTTCGATGAACCGGTGTTTCCATAGGGAAAGTTGGCGTAGAATCGGGGGTATAAAGTTGATGGTCTTGCTGATACCAACGGGTTAGATCCAAATCTAGATCGTAATGCGACGATCCAGGTAGCGATGCGCTGCTGCGATGCGAAAGATGGAACGTCGGACGATCCAATAATCTCAGGAGACTATCTTTGACTATGCCACTCCATTCTTCCAGAAGCTCGCCTGTACCATCACTTTCAAGTCCTTCCAAGACTTCAATTGGTGGGCCGAAATTGAATCTTGCGAGACTTTGCCGAAATTCCTTTTTAGCCTCTTCTTTGATGCTCGGTGTCATCCCATACTTGGAAGCGACTTCAACCAAGTATACCTTTTCGTAGTAGTCGAACAGTTCTTCAATAGTACTTTCTGTGAGCTTGAACAACACGTGGCTCTCTAGCCGCCCTGACTCCGTATGACTGAAGTACACGTCAATCACACGTGCTTCTATGGAGAGGAGCAGGTCCTTTGAGGTCCAAAACGGAGCATCGGGCCAGCGTTCATACTCTGATCCCGATGATACTGGTAGCATCAGGCAGCACAAGGTCCATATTGCGTCTGTCGAGGACAAGATACTTTCAAGATATGTCTTTTGTCGGCCAACACTTCTGAGATTTGGCCCTCCATTTTGCAGAATTAGTTTCCTAATGTTTTTTAACACGGGAAAGTCAGTTGTTCCGAGTTGAATTCTGACTGCTTCTCGTTTCGAAAAGGCTTTGGCGGTCGATGGTAAAATGATCATTTTGAACTGATATGAGCAGGGAAAGATGGTGGTATAGGATTAACGAAGGTTCATTCGTGTGTACAAGTCAAAATCTGTGATGACGGTTAAGGACCTCTGCTTGTTGGTGCTATTGACCTCGATTCAGTGACGAAGCGGCACGTAGCCCACTCCGCGCTTAGTGTACCAGAGAAGTCGTTACAGTGGAGAAAGTGTTGGGTGGAGTAGAAATCATCTAGTTCATTCACTTCTGCAGCGCGCAGATGTGGAAGTTGAAGCGGATGCCAGGTCAACGCTGGTTATCAACTTTTCCTCTTGGTTTTGAACGTCGTAGTAACTTCTTCCCGGGGATATGCTTTGACGCTCTATAATGGGGCGTGAGAATGTCAAAATGGAACTAAAGTCTCTTTAGTTGAACGCAAATCTTCCTACCCTGACAACTGGTCAGGACTGTGCAGATGATACAGTACTACTCCCCGACTCGAAATAATCATATGACGCCTTAGGGTACACTCCCTCCTCTCGCGACGGCAGATTAGCATACAGTTGGATGTGGATAGCCGCAGCTTGACACAGTAGTGGCAGGTGTGGCGAGTCATTGGTCTTTCTACGTACCTAGGTTCAAGACCCGAGTCTGTAAACTGATAGCGTACCATAATCACTACGAAGCGCTAGCCCAAAGATAGATAGATATCGCGTGTTTTCCTCGAGTCTAACGTGCTTAGCCTGTCAGAACCCTTTGCCGGCCTGAGGTGTGGATGATATTTGGTAGACCACCTCTTAGTGGGTGCTCCGCACGAATTGCCGATAGTCTTGCTGCTGCTCGCCCTAATTTAGCCGCTCTGACTGAGTCGATGTCGACCGTTGATTTGAACCACTCGAGCCAGGTTCTTAAATTTGTTTCGCAACGCAATAGCAGCTCGATCTGGGGTCGCCACGCTAATACATGTCCAGCAATGCTGCAATGTCAGTTGGTTTCAATTCCTCTGTACTTGAAGTCGACGACCCTTATCGAACGTGGTGTAGTCCTCCATGTGGCACAGTTCCGTTCCCGTACGGTTAGAAGGACGAACCCGACTAAGTAGATCGAGATCGAGCCATTGGCACACTGTTGTCAACCGCTGTGGGCCTCGCCTTCGGCAAATCGATCCCACTGAGCCTAGGTTCGCTCCATCCCACTCGTACCACCCAATTGTATCGCCGCATCGGGGAACGTTCGTGCTTGGCGAACCGCTTGCGGACCGAAAACCTTCAGCTCCCCATCGAACTATCACACAAAAAGACCGTTGACTGTCACGTCCGAGACAGCGACACGCGACTGCAGATATTAGCCTCGAGAACTGTGTGGTAATGCTATGTACTGGTGGGCAAAGAAGATCAGCCTGCCGCTGCTGCGCTGAGGACTCAAGCACCGTTGAAATTAGTGCATATCAATTTCTCTGCATGTTTAGCTTAATCATACTCCTCAATTTTGTCCTATCTTTATTTCATGTGGACTTAATCATGCATCCCGTGAAAGCGCCGCGCTGACTGACACGTTCTTTCTGGCGCCAATACGAGAGAGTTCATTCGCTAAACGTCGTCGCATCATAGCCAAAATCATTCAATCGCGCTAGCCGTAATCTGCATGGGTGGCTGATTTCTATGGGTCAGATTTGGGAGTCGTTGTCAGTTGATCTGGCCTCGTGGCGTTGAAACCAGTGTTGGATGTTGAGCACAAGACTTCATTGGAAAGCTGTCGTATCAAAGCTTAGGTTTGACTAACGAGATATTGAGTTGAACGAAATATCACTTATTGGAAACCATTCGAGCTTCTAACGTGTCCGCTTCAAGTTGAGCACGTGACATGACAGGTATCTGGGTTAGCGTCAGGCGACAATTTATAGGTTCGATTCCACTTTGGACGCTAACCTCCGTAACGTCTCTTCCAAAATAGTACAGCATTCTGCATCTATGGGAGCCTCATACCTGAGCTCGCCATCCTCTCCGCCCAGCTTGGGCTCTGTTGGCCTTCGGCCCGCTGCTAGACATTTGGTGATACTGAGATGTAGGCTCTGTTTTCACTTGCATCTCCTATGATATGAGACTCGTTTGTAGTTAGAAGACACAGCATTTCCATAGGGACAGACATCAAGATCCATCAACCGCGCAGTTGTGTTTGGACATGGCACAAGTCAACAATGCCAGCAATATTTTGATCGGGTCAAGCATCCAGACGAAAACTCTGCCCGATGTTGAGGGAGTTCCATGCGCTGTGAATGCATTTTTTGTTTAAGCGTTCCATCGACCGTCAAGCAAAGCTTTCAACGTCGGCCTGCTACCTTCGAGATTGACACTAGAATGTTCGACAAGTCCGTACAAATGACGTCAACATTACCTCGGTCGTTGGGTATGCACTGCCGCATCTTGTCTTCAATAACACCAATCGATTCTTTCGAAGACGTGGTACAGGTATTCAGGCCCTTCGAGATATCCAATTGCTGTGCACTTCCTCTGCGCTAGGTTTTCTTTGCTCATCTTCCGAATCCTCAATGTGGAAGAACTAATCCATGGTTAGACCTGTGTATGTGCTTACATCTGTATCGAGCCTTTGCATGCTGAATTCTTCAACGCCATCATAGCCCTGAGAGCAACCAGACCTAAGGCCCAGATTCCGTACTTCTGAGAGATCAATCCGTTCATATCCAGCTCAGGCGGTTGATACGCCGAACTACATTGGTCGAGGTGGGAGCGCAAGATGAATCACTTGGAATGTTGTGAATGGTAACGTGTAAGACCGAGATCAGATAACACAAGGAGATTGCGGTCATCACCATGTTTTTGAAACCACAGTATGTTCTCTGGTCTGATTTCTCCGTCCCTTCCCCAGTCTAATCCAGCTGAGGATGCTCTTTGTTGTTTTTGCCATGTAGTGAGCCCATGGATTCGACGCACTGCTTTTGAAAGACCAAGGCATTGTTCCACAAGCCACCTCTCACAATCTGCCGTGGGACCTGTCGTTTTCCGAAATTCATCTAGATTTCCATCTGCCCATTCGAAGAGAAAATAGAGCTTACCTCCGTGTTGAAAAGTGAGCAGAACCTTGATCAGGTGCTTCTCGCCCTGCATGTATGCGCACGTCTTATCGAGGGCGGCCAGCTCCTCACTGTATACTCTGCGGTCTGTTGCTTCTATAGCTTCTAACGCAAACGCTGGGTTCACCAAGGACTATATAATTTAGCGACAGCTTTAAAGTTAGGTACAACTGGAAGACTGACACCGGACCTCGTGAAGTTGTGATGGCTTGGGTGGATCTCAATTTCGTGGATAACACTAAGCCCTCCATTGGTTTTGTAATGTTTTTTGGACTCAAGCTCGTAGCAGTACACCCGAGTTGTTTGGATGTCGAGGAAAGGGAAGAAGAAGAGCTTTCGTTACTGGCAGAAGAGCTCAATATCATTCCTGCTCCAGTCTCTCATCAAGCTGGCCTTCTTGTGGCGATAGAGTTCTACGCCACTTTTGTAGCGAAGTTCGGTGTCACTAAATTTGGAGCGTTTGAGCGGCAGCTGAATGTCCCAGATGTCTTCTCCGACCAATATCCGGCACGCGACCGGTATAGACCAGAATGTCTGAGATTCGACGACGTCGGCTTCTTCCTGATTCTGCATCGAACATACTCGAAAATCTTTTTTGCGGCTCGATCGACTCTGGGTAGACCACCCTCTGATTTCGGCGCGCCTGAGCGCGTTCGCTGAACCGAAGATCGCCGGACGACGCGCGAAGAGGACGAGGCATACTGTCTTCTTGGCATCTTTGGTATCCATCTTCCACTAATACATGGTAAAGGTAGGGAGAATGGCCTGAAACGTATGAGAAAAGAAATATGAGATTCCGGTGGAGTCCTGCTGATTGGTGATACACCGAGTCGCGCTCATGTCGACGCAGTGAAGCTTCACGACATCTATGAGTGGCTCCCGGCCCCAGATCCATCCACGAACTACGACAAAGCGCGCAAGCAACGACACGCTGGAACTAGACTCTGGTTACTTGAGAGCAGTGATTTCAAAAGATGGAAGAGTAACGAAGCATCAAGATAGAGATCTAACCAAGTGGGAACGGGATCTAACCATCAGAGGAGAGATTGAAGAAGCGCTCATGTAGGGCGCCCATGAATTGTATGATCACCTCTTTGCAGGCATACGACACTATTGCTGACTTAGTAGCAGAATTCGTTGGGCCGCTTGTCAACTTGACACATTGGGAAAGTGTCGCAACCGAGCAATGTTGCGCAGGAGCCTGGCTAGCCTCTCTGTTGCATTAGACCAAACCTACAAACGAATAATGTGTGTAATTAACAAGGATAACGCAGAGTACGCGTTCCGTATTCTTTAATAGTTAACACATTCTGCTCGCCCACTTCTCGTTAAGGAAATCGTTGAGATCGTTGCCCTTAATCCTACGCGGGACCTAGCTTTTGATCTAGATGAAGTTCTGGAAGATCTGCTGAAAGCTCTGACTATCTGTTCACGTGTCGTCACTATCACAAGGGAATGGAAGCAGGGAGATCTAGGACGTCACTGCCGAGTCATTGATCTCGCACACTATACAGTTCGGGAATATCTCATATTTGACAGGATCAAACGGGTTCAAGCAGGCTTCTACATCTTTAGCGTGTCATGCTGCTATCTCGATGGGTTGTTTGAAATACCTTCTCCAGCTCAAAGAACCTGATTTCCCTGGCACGATGGAGCCGGAGTCTACAATCACACTAGCAGCGTACTCTACCTTTTACTGCAGTTTCTGTATTGTTGCGTACCAGCAGCATCGCCTGTTAAGATCAAGGACAACATTAACATGTGTTTGCTGGCCGTTTTCAGGCGTGAGTGTTCTCATCCTAGTGAGTCTGCCATAGACTGCTCAGCCACGCCCCAGCTATTCGGCTATCTTAGAACGTACGCTTGCAGAAGGATGAATGTTTAGTTTCATTGCACTACGCAACTAGACATTGCATTAGATTATTGCATTTGAATAACCGTTATCGCAACGGGCTGTAGACGTCCTTGCCCGGTTAAAATTTCTGCATCTTCAAGCGATTGCGCTTGGTCTTGGATGCGCGAGCACTACTGGTCGTCGTTCTTGCGGGGGTATAAGCTGCTTTCACGGGTAAATGAGGTTGTTCAGAGAGGCCCGTTTGAGTCCCTGCGCCGACATAAAGATCCATGCACTAACTCAGCATCACTCGTCTTCCCGCGGTCGGCAGCAAATCTGTGTGTGATA